GACTCTTTCTACATCTTGTCATTAAAGAGAAATGAAATTAACTTCAGACTTTTAGAATTGAAGTGGAGTTTAACACAATTCTTTAGAGATCAACTTGTGTCCTTTGGAGTTCATTTAAAAAAAAGGTATTTTAACATTTAGTATGTCACGCATAACAGGGTTTTTTTTTAAAGAAACACAGTTTTCAACTATTGATTCTGCCATTCAACAGAATTCAGATGCAAGGGTCAAAAGAAAAGGTATAAATACTTAATCCTTTTTATACAACTTGAATAAGTCCATACATCTCATAAAATACATATAATACATAAGAGTATATCTATGTGCACAGCTGAGAATGACAAATTCTTTATGTCTCTGTCACTAGAAGTATTATGTTTAAGGAAGCAAAAAAAGTACTACCTATTCTGTGTTTAAAATGCTCAGATGCAAAACATTAAACCTCAGAAGGTTATTATATAGTTTTATAAACAAGAAACTGACCTGATTTAACATGTGAACCAAAATATACACACAAAATGTAGATCATGAAGATTGTGCTATATTACTTATACATACGTTAAGTGCATCTTTAATTACATAAAGTCCAGAATAAAATTGTGTCAGTAAGCTGAGGAGAGAAGAAATGTGATGAGTTTTCAAGATTTTCAATGAATGGTGGTGGGGGGTTTCAGTGTAGGATAACCAAAGCATAGAAAGGACTTATAAAACTTGCTTTTGGGTTTAGCTGGTCCTCCTCTTTTTCTTCTTTTTTGTCCCAAGGAAAAAAAGCCGTTTTATGCATTATTTTTTCAGGAGAGCAATATATGTATGTTATACATCTTGGACTGGTCTTGCCACTATCACTGTGTAGGTCATCTCCTGGCAGCTTATATAGAGGTCTCACCTAAAATGAAAAATTGAAAACAAACATTGAAAAGTTTCTGCCCAGGGTTATTTATTCCATTCTTTATTTTATAATCATTTTCTACAGCTCCAAGTGCATCAGCCAAGGTCTGTATGTCCCTAGGGAAGGACAAATAGAATTCATTCTCCTCTGTCCTACTCAACTCAACTTCTAGGGACTCCACAGGACCTCTAATAGCAGCAGTAGCAGTAGGGATGGAGTGATATTTTAATTGTGCCCCTTTTCTGAACACAGGACTATGAAGGGTCCAGTCTCTGCTATCACGGGCAACTACATCAGGTAATAATTTTCACAAGGTGATGAAGCACCATCCTTTGAGTCTATGCTGATTTCTTGTAGGTGCCCATGGTAAATAGAAAATTGCAACCACTTTGCATCACAGAAGCCTCTAGTCAAAACCACCATCATGTTTTCCAATAACGGGGTGAAGGGAGAGGGTGAGACTTGAATTGGGAATTCAATAAATGTGAATGTTTTGGGTGATTATTGCAATTTGATGGATGAACATAGCTTATTTGCCATAAAAAGAAAGATAGCATTTAATACAGGCTAACGGTTAACAAATATCCTTTACAAACCTAGAGAATAATATTAAGGCTGAAATGGTTAAAAGGCTTAAGTGAGTTTTCACTGAAAAGTTATGGTAATATGCTTATTACTTTGAGTGTCAGACCTGCTCTGAGCACTTTGAAAAAATCTCACCGAAATATTCTAATTCACTCCTGCATATATGCAGTGCTTACCAGGCACCAGGTACCATTATACATTCATGTATTGTTAACTTATGTTTCATTTTTATGAAATTGGACTCTCTCTCTACACACACACACACACACACACACACACACACACACACACACACACACCCATATGGGAGAATGAGTATGACTAGAGTGAGATCATTGCTGTGACCACAGACTATGTAGAAATAATTGAGATAACATGACTGCTAGTATTGTCTCTGCGATAGCATGGAATTCAGTAGGGGTTGAAATATCTACCTGAGAACCTGCATAAATATTAGGACCCATGTTATGACTGTAATATAGACATGCCTTTAGTCTTCCACTCTAATTTTAGCAAACACACAGTATTTTCAGGGTACAACTACAACTTAAATAGTAAAGGTAAGTAATAAGGAGTTTCAATTAATCCCTGCTGGGGGGGGATTATTGGTCTTGAAAAAGCTGATGCGAGTAAAATGAAATCTGCACCCAGGTGCACCATATTCCACTATCTAAAACTCAAAGACTGTAACAGATCTTTTTCATTTAGTTATTCCTTCCATGCCTATGCCCATAAGTTTAGCTAATGTTTGCTATGGATGTCATACAAAGAGAACATATATATTTTAAACTTGTCATAAGAAAATAGAAACTTTTCTTTCAATATGTGTTTACCACGATTCTCAAATAGGAAGTTCAAACTTACCACGTGGTTTAAAACAAAGTTGCTTATTCTTGTAAGCTCTGTAGCCAGCTACTGATCCAACAAGCAACAGCACAAATGCAGAAACCACAGGAGATGCAACTCCAGCTGCTAGTCCAGCATCTAATGACAGGAGGAATGTTTTACTCAGAAGCAAAAAAAAAAGAGTATTCTCATTTAAGAGTATATACGTACCATAAATAAGTGTGTTTGAAAAGATCTGTGTGAAGAAAGTGTTGATACAACTTTTGAATTATCTACACAGCATGACACAAAATGTTTTAGGAGTATCCTTAAAAATGGTAGATTGCTGGTTTTGTGATGAAATTAAAAACTGTAAACTTATTTCTAGCCAGAAAATACCATTTTATAGCATTATGCTGAACATGCAAAAATTTGATAAAGGTGAAACATTTTGTTTACCCAAGATTATCCTAAATATAACATAGGATTAAAAAAAACATGTATTTACTATACCAGTGTTTCCTTCATGATTGTAATTCTGTTCCCTTTCTCCTGAAAGGGAGAAGAAAATGTTATTTATAAGAAACTTGTTGAGAAAAGTCACCTCTTTTAGTTAGCTGAAGACAAAGGTGCCCTGCAACATATGATTAGAGGACTGGAAATTGGGGATATATGAGTTCTAATCTTGATTACAAGTCCTCTCTGCCTTAATGTTTTAATAATACTAACTCATAAAAGGAGGAAAACATCATTAGCTGTCTTCTAAAAATTCTCTGTACATTTCAATTCATAGGCAGTTCCTCCTACAGGGTGTATAAAGGGGAGGTGGCCACAGCGCTGTTACATTGTAGCTTCATTTTACTGGCAGACAACCACACTACTGGGAGAGACAATCTAAATCATTATTGGCCTCATGATTTTCCTCTTCATCCTGTGGCGAAGCTCCTTACTCTCTGAACAGACCCACAAAATTCAATGGCATGATGGGGCTGAAACTGAAAGATTTGAAGATTCTGCCTCAGCTCAATAGGGTGTTTATGGATGAGCGTAAACTGATTTATGGGGCCAGGCTACAGAGAGCAACATTTTGTAACACTGCTGGTGGATGCACTCATCATAATAAGACTAGTAGAATCCATTTCTATGTTAGGCAGTGGCATGCAGACCTAAGTCTAAAGCAAAGCCAAACTGGGTATCAGTATATGAGAGCAGCTGCAAAATAAAAATATAATTGGCACACAGTACCTGGTGGCCTTGGTGGCAGAGGCTTCCCATCATTGAGATCTAAGTCGCTGATATCACCTGTAAAATTAAAATATTATCTTTTTAAAAATTATTATTTTCTAAATTTAATTTAATCTCTTTATCCCCCTTCAGCTACCATATCCTGTATGTTCTTGGAGCCTTAAGAGAAGATTCTTTACCAGAATCTTCTTATACAGTGAGGGACCGCTTGTCCACAGAGCCCACTCTGTGTACAAAGTGGGTCAGCTGCTTTCACCATTCATTCATTCATTAAAATCCATTTGAAAGCAAAAATGCCATGAATTCAGATAGTAAATCTTTGATCCTGCAATAGGAACATCTGGATTGTCATTAAGAGAATGGAGAAGAAAGCAAGGTGATTATCAGCATCATGCTATTCTAGCATTCGATACCTTGTAAATGGATAAATACTTGGTTGCACCAACATTTAGATATAGTGGGCAGGTCTACACAAGACATTATGTTGCTGTAACGATGGCAATGTAGCTTGTCGCTACGGTGATGTAGTGTCTAATAATAACCGTGCGCCACCAGGACTGCACAGTACCAGCAGATACTTTAGCAAGTAATAAACAACTGTGCAGTACCAAATGCGCAGTCAGGGGCATGTGAGGATGTGACCAGTAACTAGATTCAGATGTCAATGCCTCTATTTACTCTATACCTGTCTTGCAACATGCTAAAGTAGAACTTCAGTTCTTCCTTGTAGACAGACCAGCTGTAAATAGTTACTAGCAAATCAGTACCTCTTTGATGAATGATTTAAATGTGAAGAATTCATTCTGTAAGAATTAAAAAGATTTATGGAGCTTAATGAACCTACTCCTTCCCCACCTCAATATTATGGAAAACTACTAAAGCCTTCTTATAAGAGTGCATAATATCTTCTGGAAAAAGGGGGGGATACAAAAATGGATACTTTAATAAGAAAAAATATATCTTTAGATTAGGATTATATCACATATCCTTTGCCTGATAACCTATTCATTCTTACCATTTCCAGTCATGAATTGAGTAAATTACTGTCCCAGAAGGCAGAGAATGCTTTCAATAGAAAAAAAGGCCATGGCTTTCAATTGAAAAAAAAAGAATACATAACTACCAATTTAAAGGGGTGGCTTTAATTTTCCAAATCTTCAACAGTATCACAATGACTTCTTAGTTAATCAGGCTATATAGCGGATAACTGATATAACTGGTATCTCTCCTGTATGAGTGGAAATTGAATAGGCAGTTATGTTTTCCCTTCCACTATCATGCATTATAAATTCTACTTTTCACTGTCTTTCTAACTCTCTAATCCCTACAATTTTTGGAGCCCAACAAGCTTGGAAATATTTGGCTAATGTATTAAAGTTTCATCCTTTGTAACATTAGAAGATCTCTATTTGACCTCCAATCTCTTTTTGCAGTATGGATCCCACAAACTGATGTGAAGATAGAGAATGGGTAAGGGGATTGTGCATGTAGAACGGCTTCTAGCTGGAACTCATATTAAGTCCTTTTCTGAGTTGTGTGATGAATCTGAACTTCAATAATAGTTGAATGGTGATGCGTGTGTGTGTGTGTGTGTGTGTGTGTGTGTGTGTGTGGTTGCATCAAGTACTAGATAAAAAAATCAGCTTGGATTTGAGGCTTTAGGTATAACAAATACTTAAGATACATGTTATTTTCCCTTGAAATCTGTTTCTCTTTCCTATTCTGTGCCATCACCCTATGAATATATGATGTTGCATAACAGACCTGATGCAGCCAATTTACGAATGAAGTGAAATAAAGACCTAGTTATCCAGATGACAGCATATCAGTGGAAATCAGCAATTCACAATATTCAACCATCAACAATTTATCTTAGACTTCCTCTCATACAAGAAAAGGTCATTTTTTATCTGCACTGAGCTCACTCTAAACTTAAAAAAATTTAAAATACTGTTAGTAGATACATGTTGAAGTTCTGATGCATTGCAGACAACGCTTGGTCACATGTTTTGGTCATGCCTTATTATCAATTCTTTTTGGAAAGAAACTATAACTAGAGTTAACATGACTTTGAACACAGCACTAATACCTTTGACAAATGTGTGTGTTCTCAGGTATATCCCTAAGGAATCCAAACCAAATCCTTCTGAGATTACACTCTGACAGCTGGTTTTATTAAAAACATGCAAGTTTATATTGCTGCATTGGAAAAGTAGGACATCTCCAAAGGTTGAAATCTGATATAATAAGATGGTACAGCTGGCGTCCATGGAGAGAATCATGTGTAGCAGGTTTAACTAGGCCCAAAATGTTTGGTGCAATTTGGAAGGAATTGTTGGAATATTTTGGTCATTAGATTGTTGCTCATTGCACATTCCCCTTTTCTTCTTCTACCCTTTCCTCTTCCCTCCTCCTTTTTTTCCTCTTTCTGTTCATTGCTTACTTTTTGGGACATCATAACCATATTTTTTTCTTCATTAATTTAAAAAAAATACCATGTAAAATCAGAAAAAGAATCCAGATCAACTGTGTATGTCAACCCAAACTATCTTAATGTTTTAAGCACTTAGGGTTCCAAACTAGATCTGGAACAGTTATCAAAAGGAGATGACTGAATAAGTACACAGAATATATAATCTGACTACTGAATAAAAATCTGAGCTAAATGGGTTTTTTCCCTAATTTTTAAGAGGAAATATTCTTACCGGTGTTGCTATTGCTCCCTGGTCGTGGATGAGGATGTGGTTGGGGTTTTGGGTGGTTATCTGTTAAAAAAGTATTGTTAGAAGAAAAATTTCACATTCAATGAAAATGTATATCCCACACTACAATTTCCAAGAAAAAAATGTCCATTTCTTCAGTCAGCTCTTTGATTAATGAATATGCCAGAGAAGCGCATCAGGAAAAATGGTGTGATATAAGGATCATACAGGAAATGGTGATAATTAGCATCTATAATGTAAGAGATGTAATTCCAGTTCATTCCAGTCCAATGCCAAGTAGAATGGGAAAGAAGACAGCAATCTGGTTACATAGTGTTCTATGACAATTTTATTGCGTTAGTCTTATTGTGATAATCCCCAATTTTCAGATTTAAAAAAGTAAAACAAAATCCACATTTTCTCATGATTAACATGAAACACCATTGTATATATACAGTGGCATTTCATTTTAATCACCAAAAAATATGGATTTTGGGTTACTTTTTTTAATTAAAAAATTGGAGATTTTTTTTTTTTATCAGAGAAAACCAGGATCCCTGCTTATAAACAATAGGGGTGCATCCACACAATCAAGCATGTGCGCTTGCAGCAGCTCAAATAGAAGCAGTGTCAATTGGAGCCAGGGATTTTTGCCTCAGTGCACGTGCCCAGACATGGACTTTGGTGTGGGGCAAATTGTGCCACTTGGGGCAAAATAACCCTGCCTGGCTCCTCCTGGATCTGCAGTCAGAGGGAGCTATAACCTGGGGCCAGCACCTGTGCTGTCCCCAGCAGTATAAAAACCTGTCCTGTCCTGGCCCATCAGTACAAAAAGCTACCCTGGCAAGTATCTCAGGACTACTCACTCTCAGGAGCTTCTGGGGCCCAGCCAATTGGTACCTGGCACACTACCCCTTGTGCCAAATGGACTGTTGAAGCAGCCCTGAGAGTTCCCTTTACCCGCTGCAGCAGTCTGGCAGTGGGGGCTGCTGCCTGGCTGGGACCTGCTTTGCACCTGCCAGACCCGGATGAGGCACCTGCCCCTCTGGGCCAGCTGCCTGTGGGCTGTGACTACAAAGCTGGCCTTTGTGTGGCACTACTACCATGTGTACCCCTGCCCGGCCATCTGAGCAGCTGTCACCTGGAAGATGTTTGAACTGTAAAAGCATGTCTTCCACAAGGGTTACAGCCCCCCTACAGGGGTCAAATCCCACCCCCAACAGGGGTTACAGCTCCCCCAGGGTTACAGCCCCCCAACAGGGTTTATAAGCCCCCAACAGGGGCCACAGCCCTCCCACAGGGGGAATGGCCCCCACACAGGGGCCACAGCCCTCCCACAGGGGGAATGGCCCCCACACAGGGGCCAAATGGCCCC